AAAAAAAAAAAAAAAAAAAAAAAAAAATTAAAACACACCTAAAATTTATTTGCCTATTGTTCATGCAGGTAGTTCATTCAGCATTTGCAACACGTTCATTGTAAACAAAGCATTGAATTAGACAGAGTAGATGAATAGAAAGATAAACAAGACCTGGCCAAATGTTGCCCAAAATCCATACATGATGGAGACAGGAAGGGCCCTGAGTGCCTGTGTGTCAGTGGTGATACTATCCACTTTCATTTTTCTGCCGCATTTCATTTTCATACCAATTCTGGTTAGTGGGTTTCATTTATACTCATTTTACAGATGAGGAAGCCTAGAGACGTTAACTTGCCCAGAATTGCTCAACTACTAAATGACAAAGCCAAGAGTATCATGTCTGAGTTATCAGGTCTGTCTGACTCAAGTTCGTGTTCTCTCCATATCATATTTTATAAATCACAAAAACATGAATAGAGCAAAATTTCACTTACTCAACACTCCTGGGGATGAGTTATGCTGGGCAGTTGAGTAAGTGAAAGGCCATCCTCCGAGAAACATTGTTCAAAACCTTCCAAGGTTAGAGCAGAGAAGACTCCAGAAGCCTCTGTACAGTCTTTTCCTCCCTGCGGTTCTTTTTCCCCTTGGGCTTCTGGGACTTGAAACCCAGCACATCTGGTCTCTTGCAGACACATCCTCCCTGAAATCTCCAGCAGAAGATGGCCAAAGACCCCTTTTGCTTTTTCTGCTTCCCCAAAGCACAAATGACAGACTGATAATTCAGAAATTATTCTAATACCTACAAAATGAGAACAAAATAGAAAATACTTAAAAGCAGTCAGGTTTTCAAAGCACAGCTTTCTGATACCAGATTGGGCACCCACCCAGTCCTGTATCTTAAAACGCTACCCCTTGGTTCTAGAGGGCGTGAGGGCTATGCAGGTCCGTTTCTCATTTGTGAGCATTTTGGTATCTCCTGGCCAAGCAGCTTTCAGTATTTATGTTGTCTGTAGTTCTAGAAATGGGTCTAAAGATTCATCCTACTGCTATATGTAACCTCCCTGAATTTTGATTTTGTCATTTGCATAAAAAGGGAATAAAAATATCTAACTCATTAAAACCAAATGGGGAAACCATGTACATATATCACACACAGTAAGCACTCCTGTTAGTTGCCCAAGTTCAAACAGCTGGTAAGAAAGAGCTGGGACTCCATCTAGCCGGATTGGCTCCAGAATCAGTTTTTCTAATCACCTCTGTGGTGAAAGTCAACCACCCATACCTGCACTCCACTCAGTTTGCCTTTCTAGTTCACCTCTATTCCAAACCAGGGCCCACAAGCTAATAATACCAGAGCCAGAACATACAGAATTGAGCGAACAAAAAAGAGCCTACAAATGTATCCTTTCATATACAGAGGGTGTCGTTATGACTAAAGATGCAGCTACTTTGTAATCTTCTGCACAGTTTGAATTCTTAGAGTAGGCATATAATACTTCCATAAGCATTAAAAAATATATAAATACATTTTAGGATAAAAAATTACCAAGCATGGGAACTTTGGAAAGGAAGAAGGGATTGCATATAGGAGCTTTCATTTGATGTTTAATGTCAGTTAAACTGCATTAAAACAACTTACAGTAAATAGTATTTTCCTGTATTATTATGACAGTGGCTATGAATAAGGGTTAAGAGTATTCATGGGTTGAATTCCAGCAACACTACCTTACTAGCTGTTTGAACTTTAACTAACTTCTCTGTGTTCTCACCTATAAATGGGAATAATAATACCTATCATATAGGGATATTGTTAGGCTTAAGGCAGTATAATTAAGATGCTTGGTATGGTGCCAGATTCATCACAAGCACTCAATATTTTTCTTTCCACAACATCACTTCTGTGGCTGAAGAATATTCCATCTCGTGGGGATGTGCCATGATTCATTTACCCAGTCCCACACTGTTATTGATCATCTTCAATTTTATCAATAACATAGACAATAGCAAATTTTTTTTCATACATTTCTCTTTATTTCTTTAGGGTGAAACTCTGTAAGTGAGATGCTAGATCAAAGGATATGAATATTGTAAACTTTTGACACACATTATCTACCATAGTTTTACCAAGTTAAACCTTCTCTGTATTAAAGGTATTTATTTAGCTCTTTTCAAAGCTGCACTTTATTTTGAAGATCTATGCTAATTTTAAAGGCCAAAAAACCCCCAAACAACTCATATTGTTATGCACACATTTATTAAACATCTCACTTTCTTCTTCTTGGGATCCTTAAAGTATAATTTGGTATAAAAATAGAAAAACAATTGGAGTATGTAAAATTTTTAATGTAGTATATTACAGAGGTGGCATTTCAAGTCATTTATGAAAGGATGAATTTTTCTAATGGTTTTCTTTTTTTTTTGAGATGGAGTCTCATTCTGTTGCCCAGGCTGGAGTACAATGGCACAATCTTGGCTCACTGCAACCTCCTCCTCCTGGGTTGAAGCTATTCTGCTGCCTCAGCTTCACAAGTAGTTGGGATTACAAGCACCCACCACCATGCCCAGCTAATTTTTGTATTTTTAGTAGAGACAGAGTTAAGCCAGGTTGGTTAGGCTGGTTTCGAACTCCTCACCTCAGGTGATCTGCCCACCTCAGCCTCCCAAAGAGCTAGGATTACAGGCGTGAGCCACCGTGCTGCCCTTTCCAATGGTTTTCAAAGAGCTCCCTGCAGCCTCCCATGAGGGGAAGTATGGGAATGGGGGTACGGAGTGCTGGCTGGTTGGGATAACTCTCATTCTTCCCCATTTCAACTACATTAATCTGTTTTACATACTAAATTTACAGGTAAGCTTTGATCTGAAGGGTTCCATACCTGAAAACAAAAACAAAAACACATTTAATGCAAGGTTAGGGAATAATTGGCATTTTTCAGTCAACAGATACACAAAATGAGCTGCATCTCTTTTACATCATATGCAAAAATACATTTCAACTGGCTTAAAACATTAAATGGAAAAAAAGCCTACATAAATGACAACATAAGGAAGCATTAACTAATCTTGGGGATAAAGAGGACCTTTTCCAACACACTGATAAAAGCAAAATCCACAACAAGAGGCACTATTGTCTGTATTGATTTTTCCTAAAGTGTGTACCTCTGATACAGGTTCAAAATGGTTTCATAGCCATAGAAGAGTGGAAATGCTACATTTCAACAATAGTGCAGAGAGGGCTGGGCGCGGTGGCTCACGCCTGTAATCCTAGCACTTAGGGAGGCTGAGGCAGGCAGCTCACTTAACATCAGGTGTGTTCAAGACCAGCTTGGCCAATGTGGTAAAACTCTCTACAGCTCGGTGTGGTAGCAGGTGCCTGTAATTCCAGCTACTTGGGAGGCTGAGGTAGGAGAACTGCTTGAACCTGGGAGGTGGAGGTTGCAGTGAGCCAAGATTGCACTGCTGCACTTCAGCATGGGTGACAAGAGCGAGACTCCATCTCAAAATAAATAAATGAATAAATAAAAATAATAACAGTGCAGAGAGGGGGCTGAGAGCATTAAAATCCACCCCTTCCTTCCTTCCTTCCTTCCTTCCTTCTCTTCCTTCTTTCCTTCCTTTCTCTTTCTTCTTTCTTTCTCTCCCTTCCTTCCTTCCTTTCTCTTTCTCGCTCTCTCTTCCCCCCCCCTCCCCCTCCCCCTTCCCCTCCTCCTCCGCCTCCCTCTTTCTTTCTTTCTTTTAACAGAGTTTTGCTCTTGTTGCCCAGTCTGGAGTGCAATGGTGCAATCTCGGCTCACTTCAACCTCGGCCTCCCAGGTTCAAGCAATTCTCCTACCTCAGCTTCTTGAGTAGCTGGGATTACAGCTATATGCCACCATGCCTGGCTAATTTTTTTGTATGTTTAGTAGAGACAGGATTTCACCATGTTAGTCAGGCTGGTCTCGGACTCCTGACCTCAGGTGATCCACCCGCCTGAGCCTCCCAAAGTGCTGGGATTACAGGCGTGAGCCACCACAACTGGCCAACATCCAGTTATTTCTATCAGCATTCCCAGATCACCACAAAATACACACTCGATATCAAACAATGTGTAGGAGGACATTTTCTAGACTCCTGACATTAAATCCTTCTTTTCCCTAGACATTCTAGAGCCATCACTGTTGCTCTCTGGAGAGTTACAATGTCCTTAGCATAAAAAGGCTCTGAGAAGACCTACCATGGGAAAAGAATAAAACTAATTTAGTCTGCATTTGACTACAGAACCCTTCCCTCGACATGATGCCTATTAATATCCATAGAATTCATGGCGCATAACCTACCAAATGCCAGGCCATGAGGAAATTAAAGTTTAAACAGGAAAATGCTGTACCAGAGGTGTCCTTGTAAAGGATGTAGTCCATTTCTTGTGATTTTACTGATACTCAATTTGAGGCCCACTTTGATGTAATCTGGTGACACCTAGTGCTGATGCTTTAATTTAGTATATATACATATTTTCCTACAGTAAACTGCTGCCCACCTACATAAAAATCCTTGCTTGCAGATTGCCTTAGACTTAAATTCTTATACATCACCACAAAGCACTTATATCTTAAAATAATATAAAAGGGTTTATTTAAATGATCCGAAGGGTTTAAAAGAAGTATGCAGCCAGGAGCCATGACTCATGACTGCAATTCCAGCACTTTTGGAGGCTGAGGCAGGTGGATCACCTGAGATCGGGAGTTCGAGACCAGCCTGACCAACATGGAGAAGCTCTGTCTCTACTAAAAATACAAAATTAGCGGGGCATGGTGGTGCATGCCTGTAATCCCAGCTACTCGGGAGGCTGAGGCAGGAGAATCACTTGAACCCGGGAGGCAGAGGTTGCAGTAAGCTGAGATCTCACCATTGCACTCCAGCCTGGACAACAAGAGCAAAACTCTGTCTCAAAAAACAAAAAAAAGAAGTATGTAGGCTTGTGCTTTTGCTCTTACCTATTAAAATGTCTTCTGCAACTACAGATGTAGAAAGTATGTCAGGTACTTCTTATTCTGATTTTTATGTCATACAAAAGTAACTGAATTAGACTGTGTTTAGGAGGCAGAGTTAAATGGATCAGAGAGAGGGATCAGGCACTTCTACAAAAACTCAAGATTGTTACTAGAATGAAGATATAACAAGTATTTCACTTAAGTAAATTCTTAAACTTTATATTCTTCCACCCTAAAAGCACCCTTCAGGTTCTAAATACGTAAAGGGAAAATAAAGAGGGGTAAGAGGCAAAAGTAATACAACTGCAGTGATAAGCATTCTCCTTGTTGAAGAATATTGGTTGTTTGGTTTTGCCATTTAAAATTAATAGTAACTTGGCCAGGCATGGTGGCTTACACCTGTAATCCTGGCACTTTGGGAGGCTGAGGCGGGTGGATCACCTGAGGTCATGAGTTCAAGACCAGCCTGGCC